CTGTCGTGAGCTGTCGTGAGCTGTCGCGAGCTGTCGTGAGCTGTGGCAACCGCGAGCTGCATGCTAGCGAGCTGCGACGAACATTTTGAGATGAAGTTCGATAGATATCATGTAAAATATAGTGGATGTATTTATGTGGCTCAACCGGGACTCAACCCCTCTGATGGGTTTTTGCGCATGCGGGTGCCAAAAAAAAACCCTAAGCCCTAATGCAGGCTCAAGCCCTTCGATGGGCTTCCGCGAGTAAAAAATTCCCTACATTTGACAACCCTAGATGCAGAAGCTTTTTCTGCCAGCTTGTGTGCACAGCTCTGACACGCATGTTTTGAGATCGAAGCACAACTTCGTGCTTTTCCGAAGCCGATGCCGGCTCGAAAGGTCTTGAAAAGGCCGGCGGCGGCCAAAAAAAGGCCGAGCTCTGGAAAAAGTGGTAAGAGCGGCTGGGCAACTTACCGGGCGAAGGAAGAGCTTGCAAGAATACGAACTGAAAACGAGCTGCGACAGCTCAAAAAAGAGAGAGCTGAGCTGCAGAGCCCGCCTCTAGGCCTCAACGCTGCTTTTATTTCTGCAGTAAAGAAAGAGGAGCTTCAGAAGGATCCCGCCGACCTTGCTGCGATTCAGAAGGATCATCCCGCCGAGGAGCTTCCTGCGATTCAGAACGTGAAAGAGGAGCTCTCCGAGGAGTTTGCTGCGATTCAGACCGTCGAGGAGGAGCTCTCCTTGCAGGACACAGCTGTACAGACTCCAAAAAACTGGGCTAAGGAGCTCTCTAAGCGAAACTTGAAGATCCTCTCTACAAGGCCTCGCTATATTAACGGTGTCTCTCCGCTGGATTCTCCGCCTCCTCGGCGATTTCGCCGGGCGCCGTCATTGGACCCGAAGCGGTGCACATTCCCGCCTCTGCCTTGCTCATCGGCCAGCAGCAATGTCCAGAGGCTGGGTTCTGCATTTCTGGGTTCTGCAAATGCATGCAAATGCACCACTTCCATCTCTTTAGTGCTTGGGCCATCCAGGCCGGATGCTTGAAGCTGAACGGCGAAGGTACGCCCTCCCCCGTCTTGAGTGCACATGTGTTGCAGTTTTGTGCAGTTCGAAACTCGGTGAAGTTTTCGCAAGTTTGGTCTGCTCTAGAGGGCCCGGGTAGAGCCATGGGGAAGCCGCAAATCAAGCGAAAGCATAGGCTGAAGCTTCGAAAGCTAGCGACGCTAGCGAAGCCCGAAGTGCCTCTTTGCGGCGATGTGCCGAAACCGCTTGCAGGGCTGTTGCTTGGCATGGGACTGCTGCCTTGAGCCGAAGTTTGAGCCAACAGTTTCAGGCTGAGACTTAGAGGTTGGGATTTAGGGCATTTAGGGTGGCAGGTAAGATGTAAAGCTGATAGCCTTTGCAGGGATTACAGTTCTTAGGGTACGGCTTTCGGTTGCGAATTGAGGTTCATAGGGATCGGGCTTACGTTGCTCACATACATGGCTATAGACGGTCTAGGGTTGTGGTTCCAAGCTTTCCAATTCGCCTGCTTTTTCAAGCAAGTTTTTATGGTGAATGTCGTGTGGGATTTATGTCTTGTCTTTAGTACAGGGTGTGTAGGATTGGGGCTTTAAGTTAGGGTTCTCGGTTGTTCTGGGTTTAAGGGGTTTAGGGTGTAAAGGTCTCGAGCTTAAGGATGATCTAGTATACTATTGAGGCTTGAAGGCCAAGCTTCGTGCATCTCCGAGGTCCACAAAATTTACTTATCATAAAACTCCCCGTGCAAGACCCTAAAGAAATGTAAGCTTCGTAAAGCTTGCAATACAAGTCGCTAGCATTGCGGCCCAGGCTACAATGCTTGATTTTGGCTGGACTTCCAGCTTCTATCCTGATGGTCGTGACCGAGGTTATGCAACATATGACCATGCCATCTCTCGCTTCTTAACTGCAGCCGAGCATGATACACAACACCTTACGCACATTCTTGTAGACTCTAAGGGCCTTGATGCAGTGGAAAAATACGCTGGTGTGAAGACAATTGCGACAGCCTTCAGGACTGATACCTTTAAGCTGTGAAATATAGACTATAGATAATATATCCCGCTAGGAGTATGGACCTCAAAGCGGCCAGCTTCGAGATGAATGATGATCCCGTGACTGAAGATATACAATCGGGCCTCGGCTTTGCATATGGGCTGGCTCTCACGCTGCGACTGTTTCGAAATGTAGCTTGGCCATGCAGTTGTTCATGTGTGGCACGGCAGTGCAAATTTCGTGCAACTTTGTACCGTGCATGTGGTGTGATATATGTGAGGCTGGGTTGAATTTCGAAGCTCCGGTATGTTCCACGTGGGTCTGGGTGAACAGGCACCGGCATCAAGAGCATTTCGAGCGATTGTTGGGTTTCGGGGTAGATGTAAACAACTCGTCAGCACTGCAGGGCGACAAGTGGACGGAGCCGAGCCTATCCACTGGGAGACATGACCCGCGAACAAGTCCGTGCTGCGAGCTTCGGTTGCAACAGGTTCATGCATAAGTTCATGCTTCTGCTGCGGAACACGCAAATCAACATTGCACATCGAGATATGTTGCTAGGCTTTTGTGTCCAAGCGAAGCGCTTGTTTTTGATTTGAAGCCATGGCTTCCGATGCTAGCGGGGATGCTGAAGCACGTCTGCGATTGTCGCAGTTGATTGCCTTCGGCGAGAAAATGGCCCAATGCTTGCCGGAGCAAATGAAGGAGGCACTGTGCACCCCCGTTGGCGAGCCGAACGCCCCGCTTGTGACGGATCGCCCGAATGCCAAGAAGTCTCCCGAAACTTGGTTGACTCGCACTTAGATTTTGACGCATTGCGCACAAAGCCACACATGTCCATGCAGTTTGGGGCGAGCATCATGATCATTCGATTGAGGTTGGAGAACCGATGGATTTTGAGTCGGTTCTTGGATGTGGAAGATTGGCAAGTTCGCTCACCTTCTCAGTACGAGGTGCAGGTGGTGCTGGAAACCTTCAATGAAAAGCTCAAGGACCCCTCCCGCATGCAGGTATGTGCAACTCACGTTAGTTTTTTTTGCTTCGGAACCTTGGCCGCTTGCAGAACTTGGCAATTCGGGCTGCCAAGCCTGAAGCTGCTTGGAGATGAAAATATTAAACCGACCATGAGTGCAGATCGACTCCAGAGCAACTTGACATGCAGCTGCAAACCCAGGAACTCGATGATGAGTATGCCCTCCACGTTTCCCGCATCCGGGCTTTGTGGTCGAAGATGAGAAAGATGTGGTCGAATACTCCGGGGAAGTCCCGGAACAACCGCATCCAGGAGATGAAGGACAAAATGCGCAAAGCCACTTATGGGCATCAGATGTGTGTGCAATTAGTGATGTACAGGTACATGTGCATTGTGTTTTTTTCATAGATGATCTCTATCTCAGGCTCCACCTCAGGGGCGGCCGGTGCCCACTCCGGTCGTTGACTGTATGAGGGCGAGGAACAGGAGCAGCCGATCGGGCACAGAGGTTTCGAAGTCGAAGTCGAGGAGCCGGAGCCCCCGATCATCGCAGCCTCTATCGTCCTCGGATGACGAGGCAACAGCTGTGATTAATCGGAAGTGGAAGCGAAACACCTCGTCGGAAGAGGAGTCCAGCGACTCCTCGATGAGGGTGTCTGCCAACGTGGTGAGGAATTCCATGAATGGGGAAGGCATCTACAATTTCATGCATCCAGCTGCGGATGCCACAGAGGATGCCGAGGAGCACTTCACAGCTGAAAGCTTCGATTGGGATGGACTACTCAAGGAGAACCTCCATTTGGCGTTTTCCGAGGCCGGTGGCTAGCTGCAATGTTTATATAGTTGATACATACATGTTTTGCCTGACAGGAGGAGCCTGAAGCTGAAGCTGATCTGAAGGATCAAGGCGAAAGCCATGTGGTTGAGGATAGACCCGTTCATCTTTGCCCTGCACCTGTTGAAGGCTTTGACGAAGCTGTGAAGAATATTTGGGATGATCCCCCGAAGCCTGTTCCTGCAGGCCTCGTGGGCTCGAACGTTGCATGCCATGCATGTCACCCGAATCTTGATTTTGCAATATCGATAAAGGAGATGACAAGCCATCGAAGAACCCACACAAGAAGAAGAGTTCGAAAAGCCGCAGGCGACTGCTGCTTCAGCAGAACTTGCAGTCGAAGGCCAACTCCGGCGATTCGAAAAAGCCCAAAGCCTCCCCCGAGAAGACCGAAAAGCCCGATATCCGCGAGAAGAAAGCTTCCCCCACAAAGCCCGATTCCTCGGCGGCCAAGAAAGCTTCCCCCCAAAGATCGGGCAAAAGCCCCCAGCCTCGGGTGACTTTTCTGCACTTTTTGCTTTAACCACATAACCGCATGCAATATTTGATGGTATTGGTTGTTTGGGGTGTAGTCGAATGATGGCAAATCGAGGTGATGTGGACGACGAGCTGATGCAGACCTTCCTGTCGGAGTATCATGCCATGATTAAGGGGTTGCCTCGAGAGCTTCAGCCGACGAGTGCCGTCCACGGCATGCACTCCTACACTGTGTTGCTGGTCTTAATTTGAAATCCTGCGGTGTGCATACTTCATCGGTGGCAAACACGGATGATAGTTTGTGTCCAGCTGTGTGCTTAAGATGTGTTGCATGGGTCTGTGAATTCAAAAACCTGAGGCTACTGGACGGCAAGTACAAGTGCGAGGTCTTGCTTCGGCAGAAGGCATTGAAGCCCAAGGGAGTCGATCAAGAACACGGAAGATCGTTTCTAAGCTCAAGCATGTTGGCACGGACGATTTGTGAATGCAAAGTGTGTGCCCGTTGCTGCATATTTCATGCTAAGGATCTCTTTGCGGATTGGTGTGAAGGAAGCATGGGAGCAGCTGAACCATGCTCTGGGCAGGGTGATTTCCAAGAAATCGTGAGCACAAAGTGCTCCATGGGTCAGGGTGCCACATATTTTGGCAGTGCACTCTTCAACTTAGTTTTGGTTCTGGGGAATGCAGCACAGCATATTCGTGTGCGAATGCCCTACAGATTTGAAAGTGCTATGTGTGTGTGTGTGCAGACGACTGCAGCTCTGAGGGGGCTTTCGAGTGCACAATCGTGTGCCGGTAATGGTGCATGCTTGGTGCTCTCTCGAGGCACTAGGTTTGTTTTTCCTTTCTTTCGAACGAACCAAGGAACAAAATGGTGGCCCGCACATGCATTTATCTGTTGGTGCTGAGCTCCCTACGATTGCCGTGGTGCATCGAGCAGCCTGCTTCTAGTTTGCTGGAAGCACACCCTCTATTTTCATTCCTCCTGAAGAAGTTCACAATTTATCGGGCTGCTTGGCTTGTCAGTCATGTATCAACTAAACATGTGCGGTCACGAGTGTACATTCCCGACTTACACGACCGAGGTGTACATGTTTATGGGTGCCTATGGTGGCGACAGCTGCTTGGATGTATGCATGCCTGGTCGACCATACATGTCACACGCGTGTGCACGGCATGCTGCAGACTTTGCACTGAAGACTTGAAACCCCGAGGCTTGAAGCCAACATTTATCTACAGCAACTACAAGTACATATCGGAGCTGAACATCCCGCTGCCAGACCATGTGTGCTTCTCCTCGGAGCTTTGTACAAGGCTTCTGGGTGTCAGCTGCAGCTGCTGGGGGTTTCTGTGTTCTGCCGTCTGAATGCATTCAAGGCGAATGGGGATCGATGGAGTCGAACGAGTCTATGGTCAACCAGATGTGTTGAAAGCTTCGCAGCACTATCCCCCACGATTCGGCA